TTTCTTCTTTTTCTTTTACATCTTGATTCTTCATACTTTTTGCTTTCTTAATTATTTGTTGAAGTTCATTAATATGTTTGCATTGTTTTGCCTTTTTTTGATCTTGTCTTCTGTTCACCTTTGTATTAAATATTTTCTTTTTCAGAATTTGCTTGTTTGTTGCTTCAATTATGGCCTCTTCTATTGCATCTTATATTTGATCAAGCCTATCTGTATTACAATCTATTTTTGCTTCATTATCTTCTAATTGACTTAGTATTTTTTTCTATTCTAGCTGATTTTATAGCTCCCTTGTATACTCTTTCCAGTTTTCTTTTTTGTCTTATTGTATAAATATATTGTTTTTGTTTGGTTTTTATGTTTGGTTTCTGCTTTACTGCAGTTTACAATTACATGTTCTACTTATACCTCTGTTGTTATTATCTTGTGATTACTATCTGTTAGACCTTCTGTTTCTTCTATATTCACTTTCTGTAAGCCTGATGCAAATGTTTCTAATAGTCAGATATAATTTATTCTTGTTGCAGCCTCCTGATCTGAGCATGTGTATGCTTTTTTTGCTGAATGCATGTTTTTAAATAAGTCTACAAAGTCCTGTCTTTTGAGCCAGCTAAATATTGTTAGTCTTTTATAACTTGATATTTATAAGTACTGTCTATTTAGTATGTTATCTACTGTATGATTAAAGTCATCTAATATAACTATTTTTGTATCTCTTTTTTTGGTTGTTATTATTTTTATAATTCTTTGTTAAATTTTCTTGTTAATCGATTTGTTATTTGGTGAAATATATACTTCTAATACTACTAATTCTAGTTGTTTAAAATATAATCTCACTTCTAGCAGATACTCACTGATTCTTTTAATTGCTTCTACATGCTTTTCCTACCTTTTGTTTATTAATATTCCTATGCCTAACCTTTTTTTTTTATCTGTTGCTATACTAGTTCAGTAACCCTTATACTGTGTACTGCAATTGTACAATAAAAATTTCTCTTTCTTTTCTGTAATGTTTGTTTCTATTATTTCTACTATTGTAAGTTCTTTTTCACTTGCTTATCTTATAAGGTTTTCTAGCTTTCAACCTCTAGTTTTAAGTTCATTAATATTGTGATATACAATTTTAATTTCTTTTCTTCTTTGTTTCTATTTTTTTTTTAAATATTTATGTTGTGTTTTTATGTCTATTTTCTTTTGTTTTTCTTTTTTCTTTGTTTCTTTTTTGTGACCAGGAGGTGTTTTCATGTTGCTTTTTTCAAAATTTTTTCTTTTTCCATGCAGAAACTCTTCAATCTCCTAGTCTATACTTATTGGTTCGACTGAAGCACCCTTAGAAGTGATTGTTCAGAGTTTCTTTTATTGTACCTCTTATGTCCTCTAATTTTTCAAGTCTTTTTACAATTTGTCTCAGGATGTCACTTGTATATGAGGTTTCTTCTTGTACTTGAGACTTGGTTTCAGTTACTTTTCTTCTATGAGGTTTGTCTTTTCTTTTAAATAAGTTTATATGTCTTATTTTATTTCCTGTAACTTAATCTTGTATATAGTCTCTGCTTGTTGTTATTTGATCTTCTACTCTTTGATTTTGTTTTCTTCTTCTTCTGTTTATGCTTGACCAATGTTCTTGTTCTTTTTTTCTGTTAATATTTTTTTCTGCATTAAAGACTTGACTAAACCTTTTCCAGCTTCTTCTTCTTTCTTGTTTAAGGCTTTCTCTTTATCTTGTTCTTTCTATTTTTTCTTTTATCCAATAAAGTCAAAAGTTCTTAAATATAAATGGTTTTAATTAAACTGATTTCATATCTTCTTCTGTTGCAAACATAACTGTTGCTGTTTTTTTTTGATTTCTATTTCTATTTGAAGATATGTGAACTGATTTAATCCTTTTGTTTTTTAAACTCTATAATAGTAAGACTTCTGAGCCACTTCCTAGTAATTTTATAATTTTGTTGTATATCTTCTTTATCTTTCTCTTGCTTTATGATTTTCTATTTTTTTGGTTACTTGTACTAATTTGGTATTGTTTACTGGTATAGTCTATATATGTCTTCATGTGTTTCTTCTATTTGTACTATTGCTAAGGCTTTATACTTTGATCTTTTAATTCTTACTACATAGGCTTTTCTAAATCTTCTGCATATATATTCTACTTCTTTCTTGTTTATATTTATTGGCAAGTTCCAGATTGTTATATAGTTTATGTTCTCTAATTCTTCACTTATTCTGTGTTAGTTTTCATTTTCTTCCCACTTAGGTTCTTCTTCTTTGATTCTTGTTTCACTGTTTCTTTCCTTCTGATATTTTACATTATATTGCATTTGTTTTCTTCTACTACCTTTTTTTTTCTTTTTTGAAATCATTTTATACTAGTTACTTTTCTTTTTGCTAATTCTTTGTATTGCTTACTTCTGTCATATTTGCAGTCAAAGTCTATCTCTATCTATAAGTTTTCCCTTTTGAAAACTTCTCTAATGTTTTTAACATGTATATTGTTTTTTAGAGACTATCTAATGAATTTTATATGATCTTTTTTTATTTTACCAAGTACATTATATGCTAATATATTAGCAAGTAGGCTATTGTTTTGGTTGCAGTTTCTTTTATTTGGAGCCTACATGCTCTCTTCTAAGAGTTCTTCAAATATGTTAATTTCTCTTTTGATTTCTTTTCTAATATTTTTTTGTTCTTGTTTCTCTTCTTGTTCTTTTGTGTTTCTTCTTTGGATAGGTGAGTTCTCTTCTATTTGGTTTTTGTTTATTAAACTTACCTCTATATTTACTTTCTTTTGTATATTTTTAATATTATCTTGTATTTCCTTTTCAACTGCTTTTTTATTTTTTGTTTTCTTTTCTTGTATTGCTTTGTGTGATTCTTTTTGATTTCTGTTTGCTTTATTTGATTGTTGTTATATTTCTTTTCCTTGTTCTGTAACTGCATTATTGCTGATTCTTCTATTGTAGCATTTTTGCTTTGTTTGTTAATATTAATCTTCTTGTTTAGTTACTCTTTTTTTGTTTTTTTGATTATTTCTCTTATTATATATAGCAAAGTAACCTCTATTGGGTCTTGTTCTGTTAACATAACAACAATTTCATCTTCTCTATCTGATATTACAAAGATTTTGCTTGTTTGATTAAAGAACACCTTGTTGTATATATTGTTTGCTACCCAATATACTCTCTTAATATAAATTGATATTAGTCTTTCTTTTAACTTTATATGTTACTTATTTTTAGTCTAAATATCAGTGATTTCTGTTTGCTACTTGTTGTTCTGAAATCTTCTATATTTATATCTATCACTATTCAAATTAGGTTTATTTATATGTTGACTAATTTACATATTTGTTTTGTTTTTCTATTTGCATGTTGCAGTGATCTATGGATCTATACTTTCAGGTTACAGTAAATTTTCTAAATTCTGTTTTTTTTAGTACCAACCAAGATGTTTTCTGTTTTATTTTCTTAGCAAGCTATCCAAGTTTTCTTTTTCTTGCTTTTGTTATACCTTCTTTACTAACTTTATCTTTTTTTTTTGATCTGTAAAGTCAATTTAGACAGTTATTTTTTGGCAAACTTCTAAATTGTTTTTATTTTTTATTTTTGATATAGTTTTTTATTAAATAATCTAAATAAATAAAAAAAATAGTAAAGTTATTTTTATTTAATATAATTTATAATTTTTAAAACCTAACAAAGACTTACAATTGTAACTGTCTAATAACTGTAAGTTACAAATTTCACTTTCTTTTTTTTTTTTTATTTATTTTTTTTTTTTATATATATAAATTTTTTTTTTTTAATTCTCTATAAAAAAATGTTATCAAATTGATAATATTTTATTGTAAGGTAGTAATCAGATGAGTAATCTATTTCTAACTGAAGTAATGTAACAGATTGCACTTAGATACCATCAAGATGATCAAATGATACTAAACTTAGATATTGGGAAGTTCTATGTAATTATATATATAGTTTTAAAAACCTTAATAAAGTACTAATATAACTACTTAAGATAAAAAAAAAAATCTTTAAACTGTTCTCATCATAATAACCATTTAAATTTAAACCAAATCAATTCGATTCAGTAGTTTATTTCCCTTTCGAAAAAAAATTCTAAAAAAAAAAAATCAACAAGCATAAGCAAAGGTTAAGACAAAAAATAAGGAAAATAATTTTTAATTATTGACTTAGTCAAGTCGATGAATAATGATCGACTACGTACAAAATAACTAATATTATAGGTGAAAATGTTTATCATCCCCAACTATACTACAGTTTAGGTATAGCAAAATTGTTAAAAAATATATTTTAAAACCGTGCTTAACATTAACGTTAACGTTAATACAGTAATAAAATTACTAACGTGGGCAAGGAAGATATAATTTCAGGGGTTAATTTTTTGCTAGTGTGCCTAAATTGATAACTTCAAGCAGATGTCAACTTTAATACGTACGTAACGAGTCTTCAATTAATATAATAATTATGTATTTATTATATGTATAACGATAATAATAAAAAAATACAAAAAATTTTTAATTAAACAAAGTATTATTAAAAGAAGTTTTTTATTTATTTATTTTTATTAGATGTAATATCTATTTTTCTGAATAAAGTTATATATAAAATTAAAAAAAAGTGCGGTATATATAATAACAATAATCATAAGTATGATAACTTTTATATTAATAAAAATTTTGTTATAATTCACATTCTTTTCATTTTTCTCAATATTCTCAATTTTCACTCTTTTCGAAATATTTCATCTCCGATATAACTAGTATAAATAAGTTTGTTTGTGTGATTATAGGAAAGTGGTAAAAGTTTTCAAAAAAAAAAAATAAATAAATAATTGTCCATTCTCATAAATGGAGAATTCTACATCCACAACTGAAAAAAGCCTATTGAAACCAATAAAATAAACGTATTTAAAAAAATTAAAAGATAATTCGTATTAGATTTACTAACATTAACGAGTTGTTTTTTTTCATTATTACGAAGTCAACTATAATGATCATCAATTTTAGCGTAAAATGGGTTCATGAATTCAAAGAAAGCAAATTGTGATGGTTGTGTGCCATATTTGTATACAAATCGACTTGCCAAGTAAGAACCAAAAATGGCTCTGACATAGGACTCTGGTATTCTTTCTAATAAAGCATCTAGACCTAATCTATCAAGAAGTAATTGTGGAAAAGCATCTCTTAATACAGCCTTTCTTAAAGGTACATTTTGCCATAGAATTGATTGTTGCATGCTTTCATTTAATTCAACTATAGCAAGACTGAGTTCATCAGAAATTATTGATCGTGGTTTGTTTGTTCGTCTATGTTCTCTCCAGATACATTCGAATTCCAATTCAGCGTTCTTTTCAATAACACGATGAACTTCTTTTATATAATCTTGATAGAATTGAGGGATCATACCATCTTTTACAACCATGATCTTTTCGAATTCTTCATCATTTAATGCCAAAGCAGCCAATACTTCTAAAGATGAAGAAGTAACACCACCTTTATTTGCAGAAGCATCTTTGAAAATTATAGCACCAGCTTGTTCTAAACGAATACGAGCTTCTTGAGTGAAGAATAAATTGGCACCTTCAACAATATATTTAAATCTTGGTTTGCCATTTAAATCGAGTAATGCATTAACATTGTTAAGATCGACAGATTCAGGTCTACCACCACAAGGGACAAATAGATCAGCAGATACACTAGTTGTTAAATGGAAATTATTACGGAACATTAAACCATCTTCTATGACTTGACCATCTATAGAATAAAATTTAAGATTAGTTTAAATTAATAACATAAATTTAAAACAAATAAAACTATTACTCACTTGGTAATTTTATATTTTGTTGATCTACCAACACTCTAAAACCTTTTGGAGTCAATTTTGAAGTATCAAAATGAGATATCATCAATCTATTATCAGCCAATTTTTTCAATTCAACACGATCAATACCCTCAGGATCACATAATACACCACTACCATCAACAATAGCTAGAAGGTAAAATAAATTAATAAATTATATTAATAAATTAAAATAATAATAATAATAATAATAATAATAATAATCGATTATAATAAAGAAAAACATACCGACGGTACGATCCTTTGAAATTTTAATTTCATTACTACCCAAATCACCATCAGGACCACCAGTTTGGAATTTAGTAATTTTTGCTTCCTTAAGTCCACGTTTTCTATAAATTCCTAGTACATATTGATGAACTGAACGTGTGGTCATACCATAAAGATCATGAGGAATACCACCCATTGATTGACTTTTTCCGGTAGTAAATGCTTTCCAGAATGGAGCACCACGAGCTCGAGCATGAGCACTAGCCCAATCAACAAATGTAGCAGTTCCTTCATCAGGACCAAAGAATAAAATTTCTGGTTTATTATAATTATCGACAATTTTCTATATATGAATTAATAATAATTATTAATAATGTTGTAAATAATAATAATAATAATATAAGTATTATAAATAATAATAATAATATAATTATTATAAATAATAATAATAATATAAAAATAATAATATAATACTAACTTCTTTGATTCCAGGCGAATTACCAACGATTAAAAGATCTAGGATACTATCAACATATTTTTCAAAAGCAACACGATCTTTATCTTGTTGATTAACATCCAAAAGAATAGTACCCTTTGAACCACCTTCAGGAATATCTTTATTTTTTCGTTGTTGAGTAGCGGCCAGCGCATAATTTTCATCAAAAAGAGATCTTAAATTGATACTATAAGTTTCTTTATTTCTAGAACGAATTATACGAATACCACCACGAGCTACATCACGGAATCTTAAATGGAAACCACGAAATTCGGAACCCACAACAAGGAACATACCGAATAACCTTGTAGGATATTCGATAGCAGGTAAGAAAGAGGGATCAAGTCGGAAAGATAAAGCGACTTTTGTAGGTTGATAAAAATTTGTTTTAAGGATATGTTTATTAAGGATTAAGAAGGATTCAAACACCATAAATTCATGAGCATTGGAAGTAGTTTTCTTGATTTTATCCAAAAGTTCATCATCAGAGAGGATAACATCAGTTTGTAAACGTTGATAAGATAAAGTTGGTCTATAAAGATATAAAGAGATTAATAATAGATAGATTAATAATAATTAGATTAATAATAAGAGTAATAAGAGTAACTTACTCAAGGGCAGCACCACGAGGGTTAACATAATGAGTTAAAGCAAAGTTGATATAAAGAAGACGAATTAAATCCGGATACATTTTTATAATTTCCAAAATATATTCACGAGTAAAAGTATCAGAACGTAATCTTTTTTTAATCTTGTTCAAAACTTCAATATGAACAGGATCATTTGGATCCATAGCACTAGCTAGACTAGTATATTCACTACCCAAACGATTTAGGAAATGTTGAGCGAATAGCCAACCAATATAACCGTAAATAGCTTCTTGAACGGATAATTTATTGGTTTGAAAGAAAGATTGTAAAGGAGTAGTAGGTAAACAATAAATTAAGGAAGCTTCTTTAATAACTTGATGAATAGTATGTTCAATTGGAGCGGATTTTGAACTAGGAAGAGGGTTAAGATAAAGACTCATAACGGTGACACCATTAGAGAATTGTTCGACATATTTTCTGGTTGAATAAAGCTCATAGAAATGATATAAATCAGACATGGCGGAGAAAAAGGATTGAGTACTTCGTTGTTTATAACCAATAACAAGACGACGTTCACGACTTCCTTCAACTTCAAACATTTCAATTACAGGACCAGATCTTTGAAGAACAGCTTTCATAACATTATGATAAATTTCCAAAGTATTATCAGTAGCTTTTTCTAAGAAAGTTTTATCACCGACCATACGAATATCAGTTTCCTCTTCTGGGGTAGGATCAGTTTTTACGAAATTACATTTTGTGACAAAGTAACAACGAAGTTGAGTATCCATTCCAGAGGAGACATTTCCTTGAGAACGGTAAGATTCTAGACGATAAGCTTTGGTAGTAGTACTAATATCTAGAAATTTTTCATCGATTCTAAAAATTAAGATCAGATCGATGAGAATTAAGATTATTAAAATTAGATAAATGGATAAAATCGTATAAATGAATAAAATCGTATAAAAATTGGATAAATGAATAAAATCGTATAAAAATTGGATAAATGAATAAAATTGGATAAAAATTGGATAAAATGAATAAAATTGGATAAAATTAGATAATTGGATAAAATTGGAGAACATAATTTATAAACCGAAAAAGATCTGCCGAATAGATCTGTCTCGGAGATTGAAAAGAAACGATGCATGAAATTTATGATCAAAAAGCAAAACATATATAAAAAGGATGAAAAGAAAAAAGAATGAGAAAAGATGAAAAGGAATAAAAGGTTACCTTCTTTCGTATTGAGGCCCAGTTAGTTGAGAGATACCAGGACGAGAAGTGTGAATATATACGGATGTTTCTTCAGTCTCTCGTTCAAGATTGATATCCAAGACGTTTTCATTTTTTGTGAATGCAAAAATTTTAGCACCGTATAAAGCCAAGATATGGTTGGCGATAGTTTCGGCACTTTCCAAACTGAAATACGTATCATCGATACCAAGGTTACTGTTAAATAACGTGAATAAATAAAAGTAGATAAAAGTATATAAAAGTATATAAAAGTATATAAAAGTAGATAAGTATTGATAAGTAAGAAAGAGTATATTAGAGATGAATGAAATTAAAGAATTCAATATACCCATAAAACCAAGTTACTTCGTTTCTAACTAGTTCTTTTGGAATGAAACCTTTCTCTTCCAAATATTCGCACACTTTTGACATTTGTTCGGTTTTTCCGTCAAAGACGGTAGGCGTGTAACCACACGAGTTTCTTACGATGCTATTCATATTTGGCATAAATAAACCTCCCGCACGAAACGCCATAATGATTTAAATTTTATAAAATTTTTTTATGAATTGTAATGTAAAGGATATTATGATATATTATGATAATGATGTATTATAAAAAAAAAAAAAAAAAGATTTTTTTTTTTTTTTTTTTAAAGATCAAGTCGAACGGTTTTATTAAAAAAACCGTTCAAAAGAAATCAAAAGAAATCAAAAGAAATCAGAGTTGCCAAAAAATAATTAAAACGGGGATTTTTAAATCTAAATCGAAATTTAACAGCACAATAGCATTGGGCGTAAACCTAATATATATACAGATATGTATATATAAGAACCTATACTATTTCAGAATATTTTAGATTAATATTTATATTACGTATAAAGTACGATTATCATCTTCAACAATATAAATGCCATTTGAGGCTACCATAAAGTAAATTTAAGAGAAAAAAAGGGTAACATAAATACGTACGATAGGGTAGGTAAATAGAATGATATAATGAACGAGTTTCATATAAATGTAAATAAAGAGAAAAGGAAAATAATTTCGATTTTAACATTGTCGGGAATTGAAATTAGTGACACAAGTCTCCAGATTTTTGGGTTATTAGAAAAAGGGAAGGTAGAATTATCAATAAGAGATGATTAAGAAGGTAAGATCGCATTGTGGATTTTATGAATTCAGATCCTAAGTGATCGATTGTCGATTGGTATACAAGGATTTCATACAAGCCAAGAAACATAACATTCCTACATAGCAATTAATTGGACTACCGGGTGCAGAAAGAATAGAAAAAAATATATATTAAGAAATCCATATAGTAAGTTATTATAAGCAAATCATGAGTGATATTATTATTATGATTAATTGGTGAAATATTTCATTACATATATTAAAGAAGAATTCAAATGACTTAAATCCGAAAAAACTTTTTGGTTCATCAAATCTTTGTCTTTCAATACGTGTATCCACAAATCTTCAGTACATGTCGTTGCATATATTAAAAGTATTTATTAAAAGAATTTATTAAGAGAATTTATCCGCCATCCGAGGATAATGCAAGGATATCCCATAAACGATCATAAAGAAAAAAAAACATAATAATAATAGTAATAGTAATAATAATAATAATAATAATAGGAATAATAATAATAATAGGAATAATAGTACGTAATAATAATAATAATAATAATAATAATAATAATAGTGGTAGTAGTAGTAGTAGTAGTAATAATAATAATTATAATAGTAATAATTTTTTCTTTACAATCAGATCTTGATCTTTTCTTTCAATATGTGTATCCACAAATTTTTTTTAATTATTTTTGTGTTAATCATTTTTTTTCGAACGATCATTTTTTATTGTTTGTGCGAAATTTCAATGTAGTGTTATGTATTTTCTTTTTTAATCGGAGTATTTTTCTTTTAGCCAAGGAAAAAAAAAAATTTTTTTTGATTAAACAGTAACACAACAAATATAAACAAAGTAGTCAACAAACTTTGTAATCATCTCAATCATATCATCTTCTTTAATTATTCCTATTATACGTATATTTTATACATTTTTGTATAATTTATATATTTTTATATATTTGCATTTCTATATTTAGGCTTTATGTTTATGCTAAGAACAATAGTAAATAATTTAATCTTTTAAACTTTTGCCACGTTAAAATTATTATTCATATAATTTTCAGAGTCTATTATACATTATCAAATCAGATGATCGTGGAAATTTTAAAATAGCTTAAACCAAAAAGCGAATATATGCTATATATGCTATACGTATATGCTATGTCTGGAACCCAAGCTACGTAAGAAACTTCTTTTAAAAAAGCCACTTTTTTTCATATCGTGAGAAACATAAACTAATTTGGAAAAAAAGAATGCGGGGTAATATGAATAGGAATTAATTTACGTAACCACATTAAGTAAAAAAAGAATGAGAATAAAAAAAGGAATGGTGAGTCACAATAGCTCTTTCTTTTCATGAAAATTTGAAACGAAACAATTAAAATCACACCATATAAAAAGTTTGTCCAACATCATATATAATCGGATAGTATTTGAGTGGCTTAGTGTATACGTAAATATGTGAATATAATATCATTATTAATTATTAATACGTAGATTACATGCTTACTGGACAATCGTTAGAGTACAAATTTTTAATGTTGTGACAATATCATCATTGTACTAGTATTTGCTCATGTGATTCATGTGACTTGTGACAACGTAATTTCATAAATTCTTTATGTTAATCTTCTAAAAATACATCGTGTTACCATTAGTTGGCTCTTGGCAGGCATATGAAAGTAGTGTGAAATTTTGTCATCGCCTTAAAAAATACTCGAAATTTTTGATCGAATTTGAAATCCAGGATAAATTTAATATTATATTAATAAAAACTTTTTTTTTTTTGTTTCTATCACCTTGATGCCTCGATGCCTCGACTGTATCTTATATCATTAATATCATTAAAACAATATTATTACTGCCATTAATGTTATCAATGCCATTAATGTCGCTACAAGAGACAAATTCTAATAACTTTACAATGAATAATATAGATGATACACGTTATGTGATGATTGGAGTGAAAATTACAGGGTTTAGGACTTGTTAAGATCATTAATTTGTCCTTCGTTTACAGATTTACAGATCTTAATAAGGATATGTGATTTTCTTCCATAAAGAGATTTAAAAGAATTGGGGAGTAGATCTTTCTTGAACGAAAATTGTGTTATGTCGTCCAGAAACTTTGTGAAATACAGTTTAAAGGATTAATAAGGTTGATTTCATGTCTATGTAATGTCATATCACGTGTTGATGCTTGGCATATATTTGTATCTGTGGTCAAAGCTGTCAAGCATATTATTAGAATCTGTTAGAATCGTGATATTCTCCACAATTGAAATTTATTCAGTATTATGAGTAATTATAATTATTGTTATATATTGCTCTGTTTTTCTATACAATATAATACAGTGAGGAGTATTAAAGTCAATAAAGAGTAATAAATAGTAATAAATAATAAATAGTAAGAGTAATAAAGAGTAATGATACAGTATAAGTAATGATACAGTATAAATTAATAATACATATGAACACATTAGTAATACACTATACAATGTAATAATGATAACCTAAATTAGACTGAATGGATGTATGCATATTACTATAAAGAGAATAATCCGAGCTTAAAAAAATTCTTTATGATTAAAGTTGTTCTCAATTAAATTATTAACTTTTTAGGATAGACTTATATTCAAATGTACTGGACTGTCCGCAAAACTGTTCATAAGATCGGTTTAAAATTAATAATTAGGATGACCCAAAGTTTAGTTTATACGTATATAGGTCATGACTTATACATGTCAGTCGTGTCATTCGATGAACTAGTAATTGATATTATTGATTAAATAGGAATTGAATGTATTGACTTGAGTATTGACTTGAATATTGACTTGAATATTGACTTGAATATTGACTTGAATATTGACTTGAATATTGACTTGAATATTG